ATTTGCTGTATTGAAAAACCATCCTATTCCTCCACATTAAGTTCTATCCAAATTCTATTCGATGGTGTTCACTTAGAAATTTTGCCTTCTTTTAATGAAATTGGTAGAAAAGTCCTATTGCATCAAGAGGAAACAATATGTAGTCTAAAATTTCAGACATGAATATTATGAAATCAGCTCTGGTGACCCCTTGCAGATGACTCAGAAATATTGCAACTTTTGCACTCCCCTCTGGCAGTTAGCGACTGAATTTGAATTTCTTTTTATCCTGACTACCTGAAGGGCTTCAAGATTGCATATCCAGTCAAGTGAAAAATGTTTTTGAAATCCTCACTTCACTGTATTTTTTGAACAATAATGTTTACAAGTCTTTGGGATTACCATACATGCTAAAGATTCTCTGGTATAAGATTTCTCTACTTGTCTTGCTACATAAAAAGCAAATGGTTTGTAAAAGTTAAAATTACCAAATTGCTTCAGTGTTAGGGCATGGATGGGAAATTGGATGATTAAAGATTTTCTGTGAATGGGTGAAGAATTGGAGCAGAAACTGAGCTTTTACAGCATTGAAGATATAATAGAGGCATTTAAGCTGTACTCCCTGAATGTGCTTTGCACCACTGGAAGGAAAACAAGAAAATGTTTCTAGGAGCCAAAATATGTTGTTGAAACTGATGATATGGATCACCATTTTAATGGATCTAGATGACTGCAAGATTAGAAGAAATTAACTCTTACTTAAAACTGTTCTGTTATTTCTCTTCGAATTTATGAACTCCGTGAGCGCTGAGTGCTGGCTTTCAGACAGAATACAGTCTTACACTGCGCATACATGTAAAATAGGCTACGATAGTCAGCATTTGCAAAAGCAGAAAATTGACACATCAACAAATGACTGGTTCTAGACCTGTGATTTGGTAGGAGAATGATCATTATCTTTGTTTAAAAAAAAAAAGGAATCAGTTACATTCTGAGATTATGTTCTTTAGAAGGTATAGTAGACAACTGAAGTTTACATGCATTTATATTCATTACTGTTGCATAGAAATTAAAGATGAAGTTATTAGTGTTCTCATAAGCAAAATCAGGAAAAAATTAGTGTTAAACTTGCAGAAGCAGGAGCAATTTCAACTAGAGTAATGACAATAGGATGATGTTTTGTAATTACTGATGTAAGGTCAGATTGTACAGTAGCACTAAAGGGGACAGTACTCCTAAGTACTCCATACAGTTATGTGCATTTAGTTTTGATTGGGTTTTGTAACATAAATGCTTATGTAGAACCAGAAGAAATTCGAGTTTTGGTAGTCAGAGCTTCCCCCCACCCCTAGATGCGTGTACTGGATTGTTATCTATTCCATTTTATTGCTGGGTGGAAACAACAGGAAGAAAGCTGAGTCATATTAATAGACCATCCATGACTTCCCTCACCATTCCTGCAGCTTTGAGCGATTAAGGAGAACTAGGTGTGGTGGCCTTTCCTCCACCCCCCTCAGTGTGTGAGGGGTGAAGGCAAGTTTTTTCTCCCTATCTTTCCGTTCCCTTTTGCATAGCTTTTATAATGCAGGAATGCTATTTTGAGTCTTGATTTTTGATATTGTCTAAGTAATCCACTTATCTGTGATAGAATTGTGGAATGGTTTGGGTTGGAAGGAACCTTAATGATCATCTACTTCCACACCCCACCCATGGGCAGGGGCACCTTCTGCTACACCAGGTTGCTCAAAGAAAGCCGGACTTGAACACTGCCAGGGAAGGGCCATCCACAAATACAAGTTTTCAAACTTGCATACGCATACCTGTCTACTTGGTCTATTTTAAACTGGTTTTTTAAGTACCCTTTATGCCTCTAAAAAAAGTTCATTCAAGAATTAATCTGTTGATTAGTGTTAAATAGTTCGTTAGGTAGACATTTTTGCAGAGCTGACTGATTGTAAAATTCTTTTCCTGGATGCTTTCTATTTCAGTTTGGAATTATAAAGAGCACATCGAGTAAAAATGTTCATCCAACAATTCAGGACCTGTTGGGCGAGAGATGTGAGAAAAATGAAAAAATAATGAGATTTCATGTTACTTTGACTAATGCATGCTTAAAGTGTGAATGACTCTGTAGAAAATCTGAGACATTCTGAAAACCAGAGCTGCCCTGTTGGATAAAGATTTGTGTTACATAATTTTTTCAGTGATCAGATGATCAGACCATTCATTGGTCTGTCAGACCATTTCATTGGACATTCCTGCAAAAGCTGGTTTAAAATATACAGAAATAACATTATATATGCAGATCTAATTTAAAATTAAAAAGTAACCAAAAGATAAAGTTGCTCATGTATGCTGTATCATAGTGTTAGTTACTATTCCTGTAGTCTTTTCACATATTTCTTTTTGAGATACTGTTATTTTTGTATGGTACTTTTTTCCCCTTTATCCATTTTGAAGTATGTGACTTAAGAGAATGGACACTTGAGAACTGACACTCTACAAAAGCAAAATAGGTTCAGACTTCTTTTTTCTTGAGGTAGGCTTTGATAACTAAGGAGATAGAATTTGTAAATGTTAGGTGAGCCGATTGCAGGAGGAGAGCTTCATTTCCACAAGATTCTCTTTTTATCTTTCTTTAAAATCAGTCAAGGCTATCTTAAAATTAATCTGCCACTTCTGATGCAGCTCCTGTTAAGAAAGCAGGATGTGTAAAATGAAAACAGTTGCTCTGTTCAGCACATAACTCTTTTCTGCACGAATCACAAGCAATAGAGCAGCATTGCTGGCAGCCTTGCTAAAAGGTAATTACAGTCTAGTCTTGTGTTTGGTAGGACATGAAGGTTTTACAGAATTTTCCAAGGCATACATGGAGTCCACCCAGACTTAAGATGAAGTACTTGTATGCCACATCCAGCATTTAGGTTTAGAAGTGAGGCCACAGTAAGTAACAAATTTATTTACTCTTAAGCAAGTCTCTTGGCTGAACTAGAAAGGTGCGAAAGGTGTAACGTGAGTTGCAAAAGTAGAATCCAGGTAACTGGGTGCTCAAGGCTGTGTGTCCATTTTTAAGGGCAAATTTATGCGGAAACTGTGCAGGTAACCACGGCACAAATCCAGTGACTACTGGATAGGATTTTTTTGTTTGTTTGTTTTAATAGCAAAACTGCCATCAAACAAAATATAAATACTGAGGCAGAGAGACTGGAAATGTAAAATATCAATATTAACCAGAGCTTAGTTGCTGCTGATGTTGTTCTGCAAAAAATAAAAATGGAAATTACAAAGCTGCTAGTTTGCTTTCAGGAAAACTTTTATAGACTGCATGTAATGCGTGTATATTTCGAAAATGCATTGCCCCTCCTTTTTATTCCAGTTCTGTAGCCTTTGATACTATGTTATACCGATTTCCACACTGACATCTGGTGGTAGTTCTGTAATGCTATGTTGCTTGAAATGCTATAAATGAGTATTTTGCAGGTCTAAGCATTAGATTCTATTCCCTCCAGCCCTTCTAAAGTGATCTTATTGACATCTTAAAATTTTAAACTATTCTTATCAGATTTTTATGCAGCTTCCCACAAGGCAAAAAAGTAATGAATAAATGAGTAATTGCTTAATATTTTGCTCAGCCAGTATAATGCATTAAAAAAACATGTCTGTAGTGTGTGAAGAACACAATACTTAGTTAATTCCTCTCTTGAAGAACTCCTATGGAAACACAGTGGCATAGTTTTGTTGAGGTCCTATTTTACTGATGGAAAGTATTCATATAGATAGATAGATAGATAGATATCTGTGTGAAGTAAATGAGCTCAGAAGAAGTGCCACATCACGCATAGTCACTTTATGTGGCTTTATCCAGAGTCCAGAACTGGCTGTCATGGTGATAGTTTGACTCATCTTGGCTACAATCCCGATTAGGCCTGTACGTCAGTATAACAAACAGTAAGAGCTGTGACAAAGCCCTTCAAAATTTCCACTGAGTGGCTTGCTCTGTTCCTCCTCCTGGCATGTATCAGGTTGATTTTAAGTTCTGTTTAAAAAATATCTCAAACCAAGACAACCTGTAGAAGAGACTGGATCAGTTTTTTGTGCCATGGCTCAATGAACCCATTTAATATTCTTCCCCCCATCATAGCAATTACACCACATTATGTACCTTTTTGACATGTGCATATTATGGCTGTACCTGTAGAGTAAGCTGCTTATAAAAATAAAGTTATATTTCCTCACAGTGGATAAATTCTTTAGTGAGTTCTGGCTTAGATAATCTCCTATAGGCTCAGCAGACAGATTTTTTATTAGGTTTGTGAATTGTGTAACTGTTCCTTAATTTTATGTGTGTAAGATTGAAAAGATTTTTGCTCTTTTTTGGTGCTTTCCATTGCCAAAGTAATGGCAGCCATTGGTTAGTCCTAATGCTACAAAGGTTAATTTTTATTTTCTTTTCTGTGAAGTTTGAGAGAATGTAAATCAGCACATTAAGAAGGTTCAGTCGAATAATTCACTTGAGCACATACATAAGAATTTTTCACATTTAAGTATTTGCTCATTAATATGTATAATGGTAAACAGTTCAAGAATTTGACATCTAAATCAGGTAGTTTAATATGATACAAAATTTACTATAATCACTGATAAGTAAAGAGGGTCATTCAAGTCCCAAAAGGTTGTGAATTACACATTAGATTTAATCTTTTAGGCAAAATAACTTTTATGAATAGTGTTAACTAGTCTGATAAATTTCAAAGGATTTTGGAAAGGAAATCAAGGAATTTATTGATTTAATATATAATGCATAATTGCTGAGAATTGATATTTTATTTCTTTTAGCTTTGGGTTAACCTTGGTATGTTTGTCTGTGTATATTAACACAGATTTTAGAATCAATGGTGGTTATTTTGAACTTGTATTCATTTTTATTTATTCATTTATTTAAACTTGTTGCTTACTCTATTTTTATACATTTCTGCATATTTATTGGGCATCTTCTACTTCTCTTTCTTCCTGTTAAACAGGTATTATTGAGACTGCAGATTGCCTGGATCGTGAGACTACTTCACATTACTGGTTAACTGTTTATGCAACAGACCAAGGTGTTGTGCCTTTATCATCTTTCATTGAAATCTACGTAGAAGTTGGGGATGTTAATGATAATGCTCCTCAGACCACAGAGCCAGTTTATTACCCAGAGGTCATGGAAAATTCCCCTAAAGATGTATCTGTTATTCAGATTGAAGCATTTGATCCAGATTCTAGCTCAAGTGAAAAATTAACCTACAAGATTACAAGTGGAAATCCACAGGGATTCTTCTCAATAAACCCCAAAACTGGTAAGTACAATACAGTGTTTTATTTTATGTATTAGTAAATTAGTGTATTTGCATAATTACATAAATCAGATAAAATAAAGATCTTTGATTTAACATTGTAAACAAGCTTTCACAATAGTTAGAGTTAACCTGGTATCTTGGGCTGTGCCAATATTAGTAAGTTATACAAACATGTGAAAGAGGATTTGAGAGTGAAGCACTTGGTTCAAAGTACTTGACATCAACATCATGCATGTTTTGTGAAGGCCTAGTTCCGAGTAGCTCCACTCTAGACTGGTCAATGTCCATTTGCTTTTGTAGTGCAGTAAATATACAGTAAAAATACATATTTTAGCTTAGTTTCATCCACATTGGTTTTAGCAGTCTCAGTCTTCAAAACTTCGTGCAGAGGTTTTTTGTCAGTCTTTTTTTTTTTCTTTTTTTGTGGGGGGGAGGTAGTCGTAGTCTAAGCAAAATAAGGCATTTATTAGCATCAAACTCACTTGTCCCACAGTCAAAAGTGACTTACTTCTTAAGTAACTGTTGCTGGTGTAAGAAAAACAAAATCTGGAAGATAATTTTCAGAAGTGGTTGTTATGTAATGAAAAGAAAGAGTGGTTTAGTGGTTGTTTGGAAAGCTTCAGGAAAAACACACCGAGGTTTTAACAGGAAAATACAAATACAAGAACCAAATAACCTTTTAGTACCTGAATTGTGGATACTGAAATGTGTGTAGCGGAGAGATACAGGAAACAAATAAAATAATCAGTCTTAACTGAAGCTACACTGCAATTTTGAAAACATTGTAAGAGTTGCCTACAATCCCTTGCTTCTGAATGAGTGTAGAAAAAGTAATACATATACTGGATGGTTTTCCCACAGATCTTTTTTAACAGTAAGGAAGAGCTTTGTTTATTTGAATAATATTTTGCTGGTTTGGGCACAGCTTATCTTTTCATATGTTGTGTTTAGGTATTATTTCACAGAAAAAATTATGAGAGATGCTTCTGATTCACTCAGCCAGATTTTTTTTTTTGCAATTCAGAGATTTTTAGTTTAGAGGTGCTGTAAAGGTGTAGAGAGTTACTTTAATCTGTAACAAACCCAGCAAGTAAAAGGGAGCAATAGAAGCCATATTAATTTAACTCTTGCTCATTCATGGAGGGAACATAGGGCGATTCAAAGGAGCAAAAATGGAGTGAAAAGTGTGTTTTGAAGGCTGGATTGGCATTATGACCTTCATTCTGTTTCGTAGTTATGTCAGCTCAGGGTATGAAAGACTTATGTGCTCTATCAGCTGTAATTGCTGTGTCAGCACAGCTCTGAGGGCAAACACAGGTATGTTATTTGGGTTATTTCTGTCAATAACTTCTTTGTCAGCATGTGCTGCATCTGCTTGTGAAGGTACTGCCAAGAGAGACATATGAAATGGCTATAGCAACAGAAGATCTTTAGCATAGTTAAAGCCTGAATCTAAATATTAAATTGACAGAGTGTTGGTTTTATGAAAAAGACAGCCGAAGAAGTAAAACAATAAAAATTCAACCGCAGTCTAAACTGTTTGCTTTATTTTTTATTTGTTTTTCTCTGTCTCTGTTTTCTCTCATTTTACATGATGTAAAAGTAAAAAAAAAAAAAATCTTTTCTATCTACTTCCTCACCATGTCTGAGTTTGAAAAGATTTTGGAAAGATTTTTTGTCTGCTACTTTGATCTTTCTTGATGTCTCCATTGCTAATACTGATAAAAATAGGAATAAAATTGCCTTAGAGTTGCCTGGGAAGAACTAAGTGACTGCAGTATTCAAATTGCAAGTGAACATAAACACTACCTACATTCATTTATTCTTTACTGTATATAATTGGCCAGCTATTTTTGGTTGCTCTGTCCTTAATTTTCCTGTAGCTTGTTTTATCGTCCTCTTTTTTTCTGGTTCTTTCCTATCCCTTTCAACTTTCTGTATCATTATGCAGCATTTTCCAAAATGTGTTTTGAAAAAAGGCACTTGCGGCCTCCCTTGCTGAGTTTTGAGATAAAGAAACATCTTTATTCCTATTTAATGGATGGAAGAATTAGGACATTGGGCGATTGTGACTTGTCTTCAGACAGAGTTTGTAGTTTTCCATGTCAGTAGCTTACTGCCAATCTCATTTATGTTAGAAAGGGACCTTGAGGGAGCCCAACACACTAGAAGGTGACATGGAAAGGAACACTTAAGAGAAAAGTAATAAAGATTTTCTGTCAAGAGTTTCTTACCTGCCTTTATTGTAGCATGCATACCGTAGAAGCAAGCAGTCCTTCTCAGCTCAGTATTAAAACCAAAAAAGGACAACTGAAAATAATGAAGTAATTATATTTCAGGACACAAACACTGAGAAGAAAAGAATCTCCCTCTGATTTATATTCAGCTGTAGAATTTCCCCCCCCCCAATATAATTAAAGTCACAGGGGCAGGTATTCACCTATCATGCGCCATTCAAATTACCCTTCACTGACACCCTTCATTGGTGTCTGCTACAGCTACAGTTGTAATGCTAGATAGAGATATTAAACACAGGCAGGAGGGGAAGAGAAAAGATGGGCAGAGCAGAGAAGGGAATCCTCTTTGAGTGGCTTCTGTTGTGTTCCCAGAGTGCAGTCAAGTAAGTTCAATAGATATTAAATGGCTAACTCAAGTATGTTGTCTTCCCATTAAATAGGACCCGGGATTTTGTGCAGTCTAATAGGCTGTACTGTTTTTGCTGTACATGCTCAGTTTGCAACTGTCAGTCTGCAGTGGGCACTAACATAGTGGTCAAGATGAGTTTTGACTGAAGTTATCAGGTTTGTAACTTCCCAAGTCTCTCTTCTGTCTATTGGAAATAAAATACATTTAACCTGAATAGTTCTTATTTGGAGTGAAAGTGCTTTCACTAGGATTGACACGTTAAGGAGTTAAAAAAAACTTTAAAAGACACTAGTTATCACTCTAGTTATAACACAATGTATTTTATCTCCCTTGATTAATTAAAATAGGGCTCAGCTGAAGAGTACATTTGACTAGAATTGGAGAGATCAAATTCCTTCTTGTTTGCTTATGTGGGTATGTTACCATTGTTGGACCTTGTGAGGTTATCACACTGTGTAAGGTGTTTGTCAAAGGAAGAGAAACCTTCACACGGCCCCAGATTTCCCTTCCAACCCCAGAGGAGATAGGGCTGGAATATGAATCAAGCCTTTCACTGTATCCCATTGTAACATTGAACGTGGCAGTAAGATTTAAAAGCATGTGTTGCAGTGCATCCCCAAAGGCAAATTGCCACTGAAATGGCATCTGAGTCAAGTAAAAGCTAGCGTTAAAATATGTGGTGAATGTTAAAAATATGTTTTAGATGGCAATGTGTTATTGTCTCTTCTCCATCTCAAGGATCCATCATTTTCTTTCTCTTTATAAAATTTAAAGCAATGGTATTGTGGTCCATGGCTAGAACCTACTCATAGTAGTAATACATGTTATAAATAGCAACAACATACATGTAACGTGTGTCAAGTTAAACACTGCATTCTGTTCTCCTGAAGTACCTAATTCATTTCTAGAATTTTATGGGCTCCAAACTAAGATGTGTGTGTAAAATACTTTGTACAATAATACTGAATTTTTAGAAACTGACTGACGTGGACCTTTGTAGGATATAGTTCATCTTTCACAGAAAGAAGAGATTTCATAAGAAGAATTATTGACAGATCTCAAAAATTTTGATTCTCAAAAATACTACTTAAGCTGAAGTAGTATCTGTGTGCTTCTTACAGCAATCAGTTTCCAAGTATCACCTTCAGTAAATCTTCACTGACACTTTAAAACATCTTTTATATTTTAAATAGTTATAAAATAACTTAGTTCAAGAAACACTGCTAAGTTTTTCTTTGCATGCTGTTTCACTTCTTCGATCAGGATATATAACACAGTACATCACAGGACATTTTGTAATCTTTTCACATGTACTGGACCTTTCATTAAAGCAAATGAAATACCATTTACTTTAGCTGTGGAGTTTCGATGTAGTGCAAAGAAATGGCTGTACATATGAGCTGTTCAGGTAGAATCATATTTGCGGGAAAGAATTAGAACAAAGACTGATCTCACAACTTTCATGCTCAATCTAAACCCAACTGTAGACAAACATTTAAGTTATGGTAACTACTTTATATGTGTATAACTTCTTGCCAAATAGATTGTAATTAAATACAGAAGTAATTGACAAAACAGAAAAGTTTCAACTCACGTTAATATGTTTAGGTGGAAGGAGATGAACACAATTTGATAGCTATTCTGAACACGTCCTGGGACTGTCTGGTTAATCCCAGCACTTAACTCTAGAGCTATTGCGCTGAGGCTCAGAAAAGGATTGCAGATTTAGCAACACTCATGTAAAGCAAAGGTTTACACAACAGTAAACAAGTTCTGGGTTTTGTGATTTGGAGCTCACAGTGTACAGTGCTTTTTCTGGTACATATAATAGAAAGTAGTAGTATTTCTGTTTCTTGTGGGTGTGGTTTATTTGCTTGTGAGCTATTATGGTATTTGTCTTTTGTAATTACCTTGTAACATGATCAAAGACACTGAATCTTAATTATCAAAATACTCATATTTGCTAGTTTCCATATTTCATTGAATGCATTTGGATATGTTTTGTCTGAGAAAGCAATGAAATGAACAAAAAAAATGGATGCTTTAAGGAACAAGTAATGAGCTGTTTCACTTAAAAGTTAGTGACTCAACTCCAATCTAATTGTGGGACTGAAAAGTTTTACATATCACTGGTGTAAATTCCATGGTTGTCTTTACAAAATACAATTGAATATGGTAATGTTTAGATTAAAGTACTGAATATTTCTATTTTACATGTACACAGTCATACTAAGTGGAGAAATTTTTTTTTTTCCCCACCTTTTATTCTTTCATATTATATAATATTTTAATTTGCTTTTTTGCTTTTGAGGAGGAGTATTGGAAGCATGACAGTTGATAGCAGGATTGCAGTA